GCATCCCAATGTTTCTTCTCAAATTGTTGGTCTGTTCTTTACATTTCCATTGCAGCAGCAGTACCCCAAATTTCCTCTCTATTTTGCAGCTAATCAGCCTTCGACAGTACTTAGGAAATCATGCATGTGCCATAAATCATCCAAGCACTAGAAATTAAATGGTTAGTCCAAATCAATTCCATAGAAATCGAAATTAATGATTTTGAAATAGCAGCTGATGCCCAAACTGTAACACAGAAAAATTATAGAACCAAAAACCCATGGATCTATTAAGACGAGGCAGATCCAAACCCCACGCTGCTTTCAAATGAGCAAAGGCGACAACAGCGAAACAAATCGAACAAATTACACAACAATCAAATTTACTAAATTTGTATAAAACATTGATTGTAAGCATATAGTAGCAAAAGAAATTTATGTTGGACAAATCATATTGCTTTGAAATTTTCTGACAATTTAGGATGAAATTAAACAAGTGAATCCATAGCTGCTATTCTTTAAGTGTGTATTAAGTAAAACCATGAACATAGCATAATAGTCAACAAATTACTCTTACAACTTCAGCTGTTATTGCCTCTGTTTACTTTGCCATGACTTCTTGTGTGGTCGACCGTAGAATTGATGCACCTAGAGAGAGGGGTTGGAAAAAAAAAAGTTTAAAATCCTATGGTGTTAAAGAAGTACTATAGAAAAACGATGCAACTTCCAAGTAAGAGTATTAGATATCGCCGGAAAATTTGGATGGACATCAATTATTTATTAAAAATAATTATGCAGATTCTTTTGAATTTTATTTAGGAGGGGCTAGAAATAAATTCGCTATTGAATAGAATTCTTTGTTGATAAATGATTTATTGAAGCGAATACAAAAAATATATTTTACTTAAAAGGGTATTAAAGTGAATATGAAAAACCCTTCTTTATTAAAAAAAGGAACATTTAGTTTGTCTAAAAGACAAAGAATCATTATATTCATAACATCATTCTATTTGCATCGTAGGGGCATGTGAACGCAATGCTCTAGATAACATCATTCACTCAATATAGTTAGCTTACCTTTGTAAAGCACCATGCAATTGTACTTGTTCTTCTATTTTACATAAATACTTTTTTTTTTTTTTTATTTTGAGATTAATATTGTAGCATATAGAATATTTAGTTAACTATCCATATATTTAACATCATGATGATCGATGTTTTTTGTATAAAAAGTGTCGTACCTCTTGATTTATAATAGTAAATTCATGAGGTTTCGGTTGTATATTTCATGTTGGAAATAAAATTGAATGTTGCAAAAAAAAAAAAAAAAATTAAAGGTGGCGTGGTCAAGGTGATTTACACAATCAATAACCCCGTTGGAGCATCGGAGTTGAAGAGGAGTAAACAGCTTGCACCATAGCTGTAGCAAGTAGAAATTGAAATATATATATACGTATCTATACATATAATATATAAATAAATAAGTAAAGATAAATTAAAGCAGGGCTTGGCTTGAACAGCTCCTGCAACAAATACCTACAACTTGGAGATGCAATGTGAAGAGGAAAACAAAGCAGATCGATTGGTGGGATCAGGAGAGGAATAAACTTCGAATCCAAAAAATCATCGTTCTTAAAGCAGTAGTTACCTTCACCCCTCTCTATTATTTTTTGCCGTAGATTAGGGAATTTCATTCAAAGATTGCTACTTTCATTTTAGATTAGGAATTTAAATTTTGCTATCTATCTATATTTCATCCCGCAATCAAAGTCGAGAGTTGGAGATTGGATAAGTATGAAATTGTTATTCACACCTACGAAGTTGAGATATTAATTTGACAGTAGTATTGATCTCTAAGAGCTTAATATTTATTATGTTCATGAATAAAATTAAAAAAAAAAAAAGTATTCAAGTTTGATATGCAATTTCACTAATGAAAATCTATCTGAAGATTATTTTTATTCATTAATCTTAATATAAGTTACCATAATCTTGGAAAATAGAAAACTCAATTAAGAATTTATATGCTTGAATAAGAGTAATATTGAATTGATGATGTCTTCAATAAGAATTTAGATTAGAAATACTCATGGTCTAGTTTTAAATGTTTCTAATGTGTATTAAATTGTTGCATACATCAACTATTTAAAAATTTTAATTCAATTTGGATAGAATGATAAAATTGGTTGGATCAAATTCATAACTTTATTTTCTATGTTCTCAAGTTACAGATGAAATATTGATTATCGTTTGAACTACTTTCCTACAAGGTCTTCTGGTATGATTTAACCAACCAAAGTAAATTGCAAGCTATTATATCAGCGGGCCAGGTTGTCATAACATCAAAAATAAAAATAATAATAGAGCGAGGAGAGGAAATATAACAAGATACCATTTCCGCTTAAAGGCCCATTATATATATATATATATATATATATAAACGGAAAAGAAGTAATCGGGTGGTCCTCTTGAAAAGAATTCTTACTGTCGGTGTTTTCTGTTCTTGTGTTCACTGCTCCGCAAACCCGCCGTAATCATGACTGAAACAAACGTTTTGTCGAAATCCAAAGTGTACGGTCTCTTCATTCTGTAAACTCATTCACCTCAGTAACTGCAGTTTCGTTATTTTTCGTGTGGTTGATTGTTGCTTCAACGAATTAATTAGGGTTTGAATTACAACCTGATAGTGTGAAACCAAATAGGGTTTGGTGTGCTAGAACTTCAAGCCTTGTATTTATATATATATTGTTTGGGGATCTGCCTGATGGTTTATCTGAATTTCGTTATGTTTGATTTGGCGAGGTGCTACTGGCATTACACATTTAAAATCCACATTAGGGTTTGGGACTGCCTCACTAATTTATCTGTTTGTTTATTCAATTTGGGCATCAATTGTCTTTGAACCCCTCAAATGAGGATCTTTAATTATTTTCCCAATTGAAAGGAAAGAATAAAAGAAAATAATAGATACTCTCTCCAACTTCAAGCATGTATTTTTATTCCTTGTCTTTTATGTGAATAGAAAACTTGTTATGCTCAAGGTCTCAGTTGCAGTATATGTCCGTATATGTGTTTATTGATTTTAAGATAATTTTGTATTGATTTTAAGATAATTTTTTGTGGCCGAATTTCATTTTTCTGGTAATGGGACTTACAGTTTTTTACCTCCTATTAAGAAAGGCAAAAGATGAAGGAAGACACAGATTGGTCTTTATAAGAATGTGAATGGAGAAAAAATGATTGGTCTAATGTATTCTGAGAAGTAGACAATTAGGTAATTTTTCAAAACAAATTTGGTCTATTTAACCAAAGTTTGGATTCTCTCACGCCAATTTATATTAGCAATATTTATCCATCCAATATATTTGATACTCTATTTAGAAATTATAATTTTTTTAGCAGATAAATGAAAATTATGATTCTACTCTTAAAAGAAATACTAAAAAGTAGATGGACCATGTGTTTGATCCAACAGCCATGTACAATCCACACAATCAGCTCAAACCGCCAATATAGACTAACAAAATCCATACATCAAATGCAAGTTTTAGAATTTCAATCAAGCCATTGGGGTTCCGGTAGCCACCACGTTGAGAAATATTTGGCAATATGATGACTTATCTAATTATAAATTTCTAAGGGATGGGATCATATGCTGATTTGAAAATGAAATCGCTGAAATTAATCTCCAACTCTAATCTTAAATTTAATCTTTTTAATTAAATAAATAATCTAATAATTAAGGGCCATGATTAAATTCAGCCATGCTGAATTAGAATTTTCAGCATAGTATCCCTATTGAATTTCTAATATCTAATGTACACTATAAAATGCTAATCTTAGATGACACAATATTTTGTAAGTTTAGAGTAGAATATCAACTTATTAAAATAAAATATGAAACATTACTATCACAATATAAAATACCAAGATGTTAACTTTAAGTTCCAAAATATAATTATTAATATCTAATTAACACTATTAAGTTCTCAAAATCAAGAAAATTAGATATAAAATGAACAAAATAAATTTCGATAAAAAGAGAAATAAACATACAAAATAACCTTACATATACTTACCAACTACCGGAGTGATGGTGGGTGGAGAAAATAGAGGCAAATAGAACAAGAAGGGGAAAAAATGCACCAACAACCTAGGGGTTTTTGTCGGTTTTTAAATTCAAGTTGGGTTTGGCGACCACAACCCTGGCCTTCTCTGACGGTTAGACGAGCTTTCTTGTGATACTGGTGCACTGCAAGGAGGCCAGTGCGCCCTGAAAACCTTGATTATGGTCTAAAATAATTCTAGCATACTAATACTATATATTGCTTATGGTCACCACAAAGAATATTTTGAGTGTAAGATTAACTGCTAGAACATGAGCACCGTATACAACCAACAACAACATCCTCTAGAATAAATATGAAGTGAACATATTAAGTCTACCAACATCATATGCACAATTGAACTCTACTATGGTGGAACATCAATTGCCATGACCAGAACCAGAAGCACCACCCAGATTTTCAATATCGGCGGTGATGAGAGGCTTTTTATGTGGTTCGATCTAGTTTTCTCATAACTCATCGTTGCCGAAGGGTGAGCAACAAAGTGGGATCTGCAATGGAAGGAAAGAGAATGTGATAAAAGACATATTTCTACGATGAACAAGCTACATGTATTTATTTCAGCTTATAATTTCACAAAAAGACGAAACAAACAGAACATGATCACATGCGGTGATAAAGAAACTCCTGCCACATTTAATGGAACACTTGATGAATAAGAATTGTCTTCAATTACTATTACCTTGACACACTAATGGTCAAGCCAAATTGATGCATGCTATTCTAATTTACCAAATAATTAAATGTATAGGTATTAGTTAAGGAGCTTTAGTCATTAAATTCAAATCGACATATTTTGCTAACTTGTAGATTTTAATGCTGCTAGTAATTCCTGAATCAGAAATTAATTTTATATCATATTTACTAATGCCAATTGAAAACCTTCTTCAGGAAAGGAACTAACATGTTCATGAGATACTGTGATAAACAAACTCCGGCCACAATCAATGGCACACTTGAACTAAAAATTTTTTCAGTCATATATTTCCTTGACACACTAATGGCTAAGCTAAATTTAAGCACGCACTTCTAATTTTCCGAATAATTACATGTATTGGACAAAATCATACAATTCTATTTCTTGACGAAATCCTGGGCGCTGCTATAATGGGCCCATCTACAATATCAGCAAATTGGCTTCCATCAGGACAAAGTAAGGCTGTACTAATCATTCCTTTACCGCCTCTTTGAATCCCATCTTTCTATAAGATCTTTCATGTCCCACACAAGCATTGTCCATTTTTGGGTTTTTAAAATTTCCATTGCTATTCAGATCCATAGCTGCACAGCCCCCCGTCCTTATAGGTAACGTCGATCATGCATACTTTTTATCACCACACTTGTAGGATGAAAAGATGACATAATCCCACAGCATCAAGCCCTTTTCCTTCGCAAATCCATCCCAGCTTCGAGTGAGCTCTGGCTGCTTTTCCAACAGCAGTACAGGAACTTCCAGGATCTCCCGGAACAGTCGAAGAATACAATCAGCAAACAATCACCAAACCTTGCAGTGTAAGACCCATTTCTGATCATGCCAAGGAGAGCTTGGGTGCTGAACTGGCTCTGGAAGTTTGGCTCCTTGAGAATGGTGGCCATCCACAGGATGTTCGGGTGGATTTGTCTGCTGTGGAGTCGAATGGCGACACTATCATATGCCATAGCGGCTTCATTTTCGGATCTAGAGGTTCATAGCTGGATACGCTGATGATCAGCATATATCTGTGCGCCCCAGTGCCCATTGACTTGGCACGCCACACCTTTGAATTTGGAAGCTGAGGCCATTGCAGGATGGGAACTGCTGCCGGAGTCAGATATGTCACCTGTAGACGAGATTTTTGCTGTAGTGTTGGAAAAGTGGCTCTCAAAATCAATTACTAGTGTTGAAAAACTTGGGCATTTAAATGCTGTTACACTAACTACAGAATCAGTAACTAATTTAATTGCGACTTTAGTGATACAAATTGAACACATTCTTTCAATAAAAGTAAATAACCTGTATTGAAGTGGCAACCATCATGGGACCTTCTATAATACCACCAAATGGAGTTCCGCATTGATAGAATGTGAAACAGACCCTACACACACGTAAAAAAAAAAAAAAAAATTATAATTAAGGATAGATGACCAACTAGAAAACCATGTTCCTAATCAAAAGATACCAATAATTTATACTTGAAGCGTAAATGTTTAGTTATACTTAAAGAAAGTAAAATTTATAGCATGGCGTGGAATTGGCCATATAACTGATAAAACATTATTCCAAAATTGAATATAAGTGCAACAACAAAAAGAAGTAATGCCAAGGGCAAATAGTTGAATACTTGAGTACAATGTCAGTCCAAATGAAACATTTTCTTTAAAAGGACAGATGGATGAACAAAATACAGATGCACATACCCAAAAACTAAAATAAATATATAAAATCCAAGAAACTACAGGTAACAAACCAAAGGTAACCTCCTACCAATAAAAAGAAATAAAAAAAATATCAATATAGATGTAAGTAAATTAAGAAACCTCAAATGTTGTGCGTTTGCCATGTTGCCATGTTGCACAGGTAAGTTTCCACTACTTGTTATCACAAAAACGACGCCAAGTTTGTTGTCATAACATCAATTATTTTTCTTAATACATCCTGAACCAATAAATTCACTACATTACAAATGTGTTAACAATTAAAAAACAATTTAACACACAAATCTGTTAGCAAGAGTGAGGAACACCTACACTTCAATCTCTACTATTAGAGAAAAACCACATCGGTGTACACAGACAACGAAATGAATGAGTAATCGCTAAGGTCACACAGGACCACAAACTAAGTAAATCAACACACGAATAACCAAGGAAAGCAACGTCTTCCCACAGGAACGCATCCAACACTTCACAGTCAATCATAAACCAACGGAAATCAAGGAAATAAGGAACGATACAACCAGATTTGGAGTGAACCAGAGGTATGTATCACACCAGTTGCTTTCCATAAGCCTTGTACACCGGAAATTCAAGGTACATCACATCAACTCACTGGATCAGATTAGTAGCCTGCGAACAGAAGAGAAGTGACAGAAACTCTAACAATAACATGTATAAGTGATGTATTAGCAAAGATGAAGTGAAGAAAGATTGATACGAAGATCGATTAGAGTACGAACGAATGATGGATGCGTAATGAAGCGATTCGAGTAATCGCGGGTAGATTGTGCACAAGTGAGAACAGTGTATGGATTAGAAGTAAAGAGCGATGGGTGTAAGGTGCTTTGTGTGTGATGGCGAGTGTATGAAAGAGGATGATGGCGACTGCGATAAGTGCACTGTGAAGCAGTGTCTGGAAGAAGAGGGCAGCGGGTGGGGGTGCAGCGGCGTGAAGTGAGAATGAAGAAGATGAACTCTATTTGCCCTAAGGGGCTGGTATAAATGTATATATGTATATATTCTCACAATAGGCTGGCCCAAAAAGTGTATGGCCCAAGCATCAATTTTAACACCCTCCCTCACTTGAAGGGCCATCCTTAGCAACCTGAAACAAGTCAAGTAGAATGTTAAATTTGCATAGATGAGCAATTGAATGACTTCCTAAACTCTTAGTTAACATATCTGCACGTTGATTCCCAAAGGGAACAAACTTTGTAGATATTACTCCATTTACTATATAATCCCTAACCAAATGACAATCAACCTCAATGTGTTTTGTATGTTCGTGAAAAATAGGATTTGCAGCAATTTAGAGTGCAACTGTATTGTCATAAAATAAGTTAGCAAGTTTATCAAGAGAAACATGTAAGTCCTTTAAAATACCAAGGATCCAAACAATTTCAGAACAAATAGTAGCCATGGCACGATATTCAGATTCAACTGACGAGCGACTCACAGTCGACTGCTTCTTGCTTTTGAAAGAGATCAAAGAATCTCCAAGAAATATGCAGAAACCTGTTACAGACTTTATTGAAATGGGACATGAAGCCCAATCAGAATCGCAGTAGGCAGAGACATGCAGTTTTTGAGAATTTGAAAAAAGTAAACCTTGACCTGGGAACCTTTTAAGTATTTCATAACTTTAAGAGTAGCAGCAAGGTGGAATCGTTTAGGTTTATGCATGAACTGACTTAAAACTTGAATAGAAAATGCTATGTCAGGACAAGTCATAGTAAGATATATCAATTTTCCAACAAGTTGTTGATAAACAGCAGGGTCAGACAAAAACTTATTGCTTTTAGTCACAGTATTATCAAGTTTCAAGTTTTGTTTCATTGGAACAAGGGCTGATTTGCACCCCAAAACACCATATTCTGCAAGCAGCTCCAGGGTGTATTTTCTCTGACTAAACACAAGGCCCTTACTACACTCAATTTCCTCTATTCCTAAAAAGTATTGAACTAAACCAAGATCCTTAATTTTGAATCTATCATGCAAGAATTGTTTAAATAGATAAATAGCGCCTATATCATCCCCTATGATTAATATCATCTACATATACAAGTGCAACAGTGATAAGACCATTTACAGGTTTAATGAACAGAGAATAATCATGAAGAGATGAGTAAAACCAAACTCTATCATTGCTGTTTTCACTTTTTCATTCCATTGGCGATGGGCTTGCTTTAATCCATAAAGAGACTTTTTTCAAGAGACAGACATTGTTCTTAAACAAGTCAGGATACCCTTCTGGAGGTACCATATAAACTGTCTCATTAAGATCTCCATGTAGAAAAGCATTATTAGCATCTAGTTGAAAGATTTTCCACCCCCGACAGATAGCCAAAGAGACAACACAACAAACTGTAACCATTTTAACTATAGGTTAAAATGTTTCATGAAAATCAAGACTCTCTCCCTGGCTATAACCTTTGGCAACAAGGCGTGCCTTGTATCATTCAACACTGCCATATGAATTATATTTTATTTTGAAAACCCACTTACAGCCAATAGGTTTTCTATTACTTGGTAAATCTGAAAGAATCCAAGTATTGTTCTCAAGTAAGGCTCGCATTTCAAGATCCATGGTTTTCTTCCATTTTGGATCTTGTAGGGCTTCACTCACATAATGTGGTTCAATCGATTTATCAAGATTAGCAAGGAAACATGTGATTGTTGAAGAGATTAACTTTGGGTTTTGATAGACCATGGTTATTGGATATCTCACACTAGCGTGTCCAAGAGACACTTCATAGTCTCTCAAATAGGTTGGAAGCTTAGAGACTCCATTAGACTTGCGCCTGCTTTATATTGCCTCAGAAGAGAGAGTGTTTGTGTCTGGTATGTGTTAGTCCTCACCAGAACCATCTGTGTTGCTGTCCAATGTTGCAGATTGTTGTGAGTCCAAGTGAGAGTCTTGGTCATCAACAACAGGTGCCATCAATGGACTGCCTTCACATGGTTGAAGAATATCATCATAGGCACTAGTAGGGGGTGCTGGAGTACAGTTTTCAAACTGCAGAGGTGAAACTAGAGGAGTATCCTTGAAAGAAAAAATGGACTCATGGAATTTGACATTACAAGATATAAAAACAGTATTTGACTCAAGATCCAACACCTTGTATCCTTTTCTATTTTGAGCATAACCAACAAAACAACATCTAATAACGCGTGCTTGAAACTTATCGGTGGGATTTACTATTGTTGCATAACACAAGCAACCAAACACTTTTAGCCTAGACAAATTAGGCTTGCACCGATGAATTAACTCAAAAGGTGTTTTACCACCTATAAGAGAGGTAAGCATTCTGTTTATCAAATAAACAGCAATAAGAACAACATCTCCCCACATAAACAAAGGGCAATTACTGTGGAACATAGGAGCACGAGAAACATTGAGAATGTGATGGTGTTTTCTCTCAACAATTCCATTTTGTTGAGGGGTATACACACAAGATTTTTGGTGAATAATTTCTAGAGAGGAGAACAGAGAGGACATGGAGCTATTTAAAAACTCAGTCCCATTATCAGAGCGAAAATATTTTGTTGTTTTTCCAAACTGAGTTTTTATGATAGACAAACTCTGTGATACAACCACTCACATCAGATTTAGCAGCAAGTAAGTACACCCACACAACGCGAAAAAAATCATCCACAAGTGTTAGAAAGTATTTGAAGCCTCCTCTAGACTCAACTCGATATGGTCCCCACACATCTCCATGAACGAGATCAAAGATTGAAGTGGACTTATGATCACTAAGAGGAAATGGTGTCCTAGTTTGCTTGGCTAGGTGACAAACATCTCAGACAACACTTTTCTTACAAAAGAACTTGAGGTCAGATTCTAAGAGACTTAGATTAGCATCAGAGGGATGCCCTAAACAAAGATGCCAAAGATCATATTGATCAAAAGAATTTACACTACAGGATTTGTAAGAGGATGACACTTCTACAGGTAATCTATAGAGACCATTATTGAGCTTGGCAAAGATCAGACTTGAGCCATCAATAGTACTGTGGATGGTGTAGCCATTCTTAAAGAAAGAAACAGAAAGTATTCCAAGGGAAACAAGCTTTCCTATTGACAACAGATTGAGAGTGAACTCTGGAACAACCAAAATATTTTCAAGAACAATGTTATTCCTAAATTGGAATTTCCCACATTCAATAACCCTAACAGTCTTTCCAGTAGGTAAGGTAACAAGCAGAGGACCACTTGAAAGCTTTCTAACTTCAGAGAGGATATTTCTTTCAGCTACCATATAATTAGTAGCCCCTGATTCTAAAATCTACTCACAGCACATAAATGAATTACAAGAAAAAGTTGAGGATATACCTGCCATATTGAGCAGTGAGCTATCTTCTCCCTTTTTTTCATGAAGTAACCTAATCAATTCATCACAGATATCTGGAGTTAGCGAAACATTAGCTGATGAATTCTCAGTACCAACAGTTAAAAATTGGCTAGATAAAAAAATTGCAGAATTAGCCACATGTTTATTTTGTCTAGGAATTTGTTTTCTATCAGGATAGCCAATTAATTGGTAGCATCTCTCAACTAGGTGACCTGAACGACCACAGTGAGAACATTTCAGATTTGAATTTTTTTCATTTGATCTGATTGTTTTCTTAACAACAAAAGCACATGTTTTTTTAGGTGTTTCTGTGATTGCACATATTTTTTTGTGTGACTCTTCTTGTGAAACTATGTTATAAGCCTTAGACACAAAAGGGGAAGGGTCCATAGCAAGTATTGTGCTCCTAACAACATTATATTTATCATTTAAACCCATTAGGAACTGCACAAGTCGTTGAGTTTGTTCATATTTATCTAGGGAATACTTGGCAGTACACATGCATATGTCAACAGCCTTAACAGAAGCTACACGATGCCAAAAAACTCTCATATTTGAATAGTATGCACTTACACTGTCATTTCCTTGAGCACAATTACATAGTTCTTTCAATAGAGCATATACATTGGCTGCATTACTCTTTCCATATGTTTTCTTAATTTCCGTCCACATATATGAGGCTTTGGTACGAAAAACAAGAGTTCTATAGATGGATTTATTTACATAACTTAATATCCAAGACATGATCATAGCATTACACATGCTCCACCTTTTAGACAATTCAAGATCAGTAGGCATAGGCACATTACCTTCAACAAAGTCCAACTTATTCTTTCCTAATAAGGCTATAGTCATCGCTCTATCCGAAATTATATAGTTCTCACTACCGGTAAGTACACATGAAACCAAGGATGCACTAGATGAATCTGAAGTAGGAAGGTAAAGAGGATCAAAGTAATTTGGACTCACTATATGAGGAACATTAGATAAACCTGAAGTTTGAGCAGAAGTCTCACCCATAGTGACTAGAGTGAAAGAAGAAACATACCAGTTACAATGGTCAGCTACGACCTCTTATAGAGACCTGCCATTTACTTTTACACCTGGAATTTCCTAAACACTTAGAAGGAAGATGAGACTTACAGAACTCTTGTTGAGATCATACAGTACCTACAAAGACAACGAGAAGTGTGTTAGACAGCTCTGATACCATGTTAACAACTAAAAAACAATTTAACACACAAATCTGTTAGCAAGAGTGAGGAACACCTACACTTCAATATCTACTATTAGAGAAAAACCACATCGGTGTACACAGACAACGATAATGAATGAGTAATCGCTAAGGTCACACAGGACCACAAACTAAGTAAATCAACACACGAATCAACAAGGAAAGCAACGTCTTCCCACATGAACGCATCCAACACTTCACAGTCAATCATAAACCAACGGAAATCAAGGAAATAAGGAACGATACAACTAGATTTGGAGTGAACCATAGGTATGTATCACACCAGTTGCTTTCCATAAGCCTTGTACACCGGAACTTAAAGGTACATCACATCAACTCAATGGATCAGATTAGTAGCCTGCGAAGAGAAGATAAGTGATAGAAACTCTAACAATAATATGTATAAGTGATGTATTAGCAAAGATGAAGTGAAGGAAGATCGATACGGAGATCGATTAGAGTACGAACGAATGATGGATGCGTAATGAAGCAATTTGAGTAATCGGGTGTAGATTGTGCACAAGTGAGAACAGTGTATGGATTAGAAGTGAAGAGCGATGGATGTAAGGTGCTTTGTGTGTGATGGCGAGTGTATGAAAGAGGATGATGGCAACTGCGATAAGTGCACTGTGAAGCAGTGTATGGAAGAAGAGGGCAGCGGGTGTAGTGGCGTGAACTGAGAATGAAGAAGATGAACTC